CCATCAGCCAAGGACCCGGGGTAGGGGCGGTGGGGTAGCGGTCATTATACGGGAGAACCTATGCCCAAGGGAGACCACTGTGCCTCAGATAGACGGTGGTGAGTCCCTCCTGGTGAAGTGGGGGCAGGGGGTACAAGTGGGCCTGTTGATTATATACCTGGCTCCCTGCTATGTATCAACGGCCCTGCCTGAGCTGGCCAACGTGATAGCCGGGGTGGCAATTGAGACCCCCAGACTTATAGTCATGGGGGACTTTAATCTGCCATCGGCGGGCGAAACGTCGGCGGCGGCTCGGGAGTTCTTGGCCTCCATGACGGCCTTGGACTTGACCCAATTAGTTCATGCCCCGACTCACACAGGGGGACACACACTAGATCTAATTTTTGTCTCTGGCCAGTGGCAGAATGATCTGGATAAGGGGCACGTAGTGATAGAGCCCCTGTCATGGTCAGATCATTCACTCCTCAGGTTGGACTTCTGGACCGCTCCCCCCCGCTGCAGGGAGGAGGAACCACTTAGATGGTTCCGCCCCAGGCGCCTGATGGACCCAAAGAGGTTCCAGACGGAGCTTGGGCCATATCCGGAGGACCTACCTCACGACTCGGTTGAAAATCTGGCGGCGGCCTGGGAAGGGGCCGCTGCCGCAGCATTGGACCGAGTCGTGCCTTTGCGGCCTCTGACCCGGCGCAGATCTCAATTGGCTCCCTGGTTTACCAAGGAGCTGAGAGAGATGAAGCGCCGGAAAAGACGCCTAGAGAGCAGTTGGAGGGTGAGACGAACCGAATTTGATCGAACACAGGCAAGGATACAGGTTAGATCCTACCTAGTGGCGATGAGGGTGGCGAGGTCTAATTACTACTCCACCCTCATTGTGTCATCAGATAATCGCCCGGCCACCCTCTTCAGGGTGACTCGCTCCCTCCTCCAGTTGAGGGGGGGGGAGGATCCCCTGGGGGGGAGGGCCGAGGACTTTGCTCAATATCTGCATGACAAAGTCGCTCGGATCCGGGAAGGTCTTGACTCTGACTGGGTGGCCCCGGGGGAGGAGACAGGAGTAAGTCTTGAGACTGTTATATGGGAGGAGTTTGACTCTGTGGCTCCTGAGGATGTGGACAGGATTCTCGGGCGGCTG